ACAGATGCAAATATACTCAAATCTTGGTCCCATTCGGGAGATTGAGATCCGGGCCCTGCGGGACTTAATGCAGTTCCGTGGGGCCTGTAAAATGGAGGTGTTCCGCCTATGGTTGAGGCGGCGGAGATCTACTCGCTTGCCCCCACCCCTTCGCTGCATTGCTTGCTTTGCAGCCTGGTATGATCTATACCTTTTGCCTGCCCCAACAGCATCAACTGTCATCCATCTGCACACATTTAGGGATCTGTACGGGAGCAGATGGAAAGAACCAGACGAGGCCGTCAACTGCTACTACTGTATTTATTGATGTGATTTTTATCAATGCTTTGTTATTACTGCTAACGATTGACTGGTTGTTGCAGAAGTGACTGTATTTAATCCTTGTTGTGACCAACGAGCTGTGGAGTCCTGTGAGCAAAAATTCTACTCTGTGAGCTACTGGCATTCAAGTTGTGAGCGAGCGATTTGGCCGCTGCATACGTTAGTTTGCTCTGGAGCCATCCTTTCTGAGACAAAAATGTGTGAGCTGGAGGCTAAAAAACTGTGAGCTAGCTCACACTAACTCAGCTTAGAGGGAACACTGGTTGTGACCAACCCTGAGCCTGCTCGACGGGTAGGGTGGCCTAGGAAGCCAATAAAATAAAATATTCTCTTTAAGATCTGGATTTTAAGAATATGCTCGCTACTATGCTCTACGCAGCAAGAACATCTACTGCCTCACATTGGAAGAACGAAAATGCCCCCACGGTACGGACATGGTTCCGGACGTTATGGGACCAGTATACATAAGAACATAAGAGATGCCAATGTTGGATCAGGCCAAAGGCCCATCCAGTCCAACACTCTGTATCACACAGTGGCCAGAAATACCAGTGCCATCAGGAGGTCCACCAGTGGGGCCAGGACATTAGAAGCCCTCCCACTGTTGACCCCCCAAGCACCAAGATGACAGAGCATCACTTGCCCCAGAGTCCCTATCTATACCTTGTGGCTAATAGCCACTGATGGACCTCTGCTCCATATGCTTATCTAATTCCCTTTTGAAGCCGTCCATGCTTGTAGCCACCACCACTTCCTGTATCACAAATGGATATAAAAAAAGCTATCTCCCACGGATCATACTCTACAAACACTCCATGATAACACCACACTCTGGCACACCATCTCAATATATGTAACAAGCTATTTAGATTGTGTATAAAAAGCACCAGATTTGTTTACAATAATCACTATTCACTGTTCTCGTACTTGAGTTTTTGTTCACGAGTTAAGATTCTCTTCACGGTCAAGCGCTACAAAACAACATACCAACAAAACTTAAAGTTGTATTGTTACCATTTATATTCATGTTGTTGTATATACTGAAACAATTTCTTGAATACTTGTTTTATCTACTGTATCACTATTTTTTGCTGATAAAAATTTTAATTAATTTTTAAAAATCTAGATTTTTTAAAAACAAAGGACGAGGGACCGAAATCATCATTGGGAGCATGATGGGTTGTTGTTTTTTTTCCTCGCCAAACTGGACGCAGATATTTTTACACTGGGGGTGGGGTGGAAGTAGTTTGAGTTGCAGGCCTCAATTCAGGACTCAGCATAGGGGACTTCTCCTAACTCTGCCGAAGAAATCAAACAACTCAGCTAAAATGGGAAGCTTCCGGGAGAGACTGGGTTCACCTCTTGCCTCCCTTACTCTTTGGGACTTACATTCAGGGCTATTTTTGGGCAGGAACGCACAGGAACGGAGTTCCGGCTGGCTCCCAAGTTGGCCACGCCCAGCAGAAACTCATTAGCATAATAGGCTACACCCAACAGCAGAAACTCATTAGGATTGGCTACATTAGGGGTGTGTGGCCTAAGATGCAAAGGAGTTCCAGCTACAAAAAAGGCCCTGGGTTTTGACAACAGACAAGGTAAACAGAATAAGAAGCAAAAGGTGGGTGTGGCTGGATAACCACACTTCTGGTAACATGGGGGTGTGGCCTAATATGCCAATGAGTTGTGCTGTCAGAGGTGTGGCCTAATATGCTAATGCGTTTCTGCTGTTGGGTGTGGCCTATTATACTAATGAGTTCCTGCTGGGTTTTTTTCTACAAAAAAAGCCCTGCTTACATTTATAAAAGAACTGGAAGATGTGGCTTTCAACCCAGTTCCTGGACCTGGCTCAGTTGCCACTTGGAGCTGTCCAGCTTGGAAAAAGTGCGGAAGCCTTCGAAGTGCTGGAGAAAAAAAGGTTGCTAGGACCAATGCCGCATTGTTCCTGCGAGCGGAAATAGTCAAGTAACAGTGGCTGAACTTGAAATGCATTGCAGTTGGAGAGGCTTTTGTTACAATTCAGAAAACTTCATGTACGGAACGTTCTCCCTGATATCCTTAATACTGTACAGGTTGGATCCCAAGAATCTGGCCTAGAGGCTAAATCCAAGCCCTGTCAGGTTTAAAAAATTTTTTTTGAGCATAAAGGTAAAGGTTTCCTTGCTCGAAAGCCAGTCGAATCCGACTCTAGGGTTGCGGCGCTCATCTCCGTTTCAAAGCCGAAGAGCCAGCGCTGTCCAAAGACGTTTCCGTGGTCATGTGGCCGGCATGACTAAACACCAAGGCGCACGGACCGCTGTTACCTTCCCACCGAAGTGGTACCTATTTATCTACTTGCAATTTCTTGCTTTCAAACTGCTAGGTTGGCAGGAGCTGGAACTAGAGACAGGAGCTCACCCTGTCTTGTGGCACCCGGGTCTTGAACCGCTGAACTACTGACCTTCCACAGCCTGCAGTTCAGCGTCTTAACCACTTGAGCCACCGCAGCTCCGTACAATAAATTGATTTATTCTGTTTAGTCCATTTTTATATTGTTCCTGCTCAACCTTTGTGGTACCTCATTTTATGTCGCTTGAAACATTTTTACACTGCCTTTCGACTCGATCAGGGTCTACAAGGTGGCGAACGTCGCGAACATTCGAACCATTAAAACCAAATTCGAAATCATAAAATAATTATATGAAAACACATAAACGCAGAGCACAAGATGTCGCGTCAGGTGGGAGGAAGTCTCTCACACAGGTAATATAAACAGACCTGGAACTGTCGTGCAGTTTCAGTAAAGCGGTTGCACTGTACACCTTCCAACCGAACTCTGGGAATCAGTGTTGGATCGAAAATCAAGCTGACTTTGACCGATTTTTCTCTCCGAAAGCCTTCCCACTTAATGGCAGGATGGCCACCCCATCACTTAGCGCTGTATCCCTCTCGGTGGGAATATGGTAACACTCAGTGACACAGAACAACATGCACATTTTTTTATTATTCATTAGCTCAGTGCCTGGAGTAGGTACTTAAAATTCATTGTTCGAGTCTGTTCCTGGTAGCGAGCCAAGCTAGCAAGTGAGAAGACTTTGGCCGCCTATCCAAGTTCGGCTGAAGAAAGGGGATTATGTTCCTCCTGTA